TCAGAATTCAGAGATTAATGTCAGAATTCTGAGGGGAAAAAAAGTCAGAATTCTGAGATTAAAGTCAGAATTAAGAGATAAAAGTCAGAATTCAGAGATTAATGTCAGAATTCTGAGGGGAAAAAAAGTCAGAATTCTGAGGAAAAAAAAGTCAGAATTCTGAGATTAAAGTCAGAATTCTGAGGAAAAAAAAGTCAGAATTCTGAGATTAAAGTCAGAATTCTGACTTTATTCTCAGAATTCTCACTTTTTTTCAATACTAAACTGAAATAAAATTTAAAAATCAGTTAACTTTTTTTTTCTTTTTTTCAGTGGCCCTAATCCTCTTCCGTATGTAACGTCTCATCCCCATGATAGGGAATCAAGAGCAAATCAAGCAGCACATTGATGCTTGAGTTCACAAGCAGAAAATTCAATAATTTCACCACAAATCAACAGTAAAAATATCGATCTTTATTCTTTGAGCTAACATATCAAAGATAAAACCTCAATCTGAAATAGCATGACAAATTACACAAGAACTATACAACAGTAAACAAAGAGTAATTTAGTTACTTTTTCTTAAGATAAAATATTTCTGTTTGCATTTATTACGGAAAATATTTCTGCTCCGTCTTACAAAGCGGACTGAGCGACGGCAGGTTAATTTGGCCCAGAAAACATCCCTTAGAATAAAAGTCATCAAAAATACATTTTAGCTGCAGTTGAAACATGTTTGCATCAAATTAATCAATTACTGGAAAATTTTATAGGCACATTTTTTTCTTTTTTTGTCATGGATGAAACAAAAAAATAAAAAAAAAGTCAAATTTTTCCGACTTACTGACTGATTTCAGGATGGACAGTCTGGCAAATATGAGAGACATGCGATGGGAAACACATTGGTGACAACAGTTTAAAAGCTACGGTTATCTACTATTTATGGCCGGCTACTAACTTCAGGAAGCCAACAGGTGGAGTTAAGTTGAATTATAAGCATGACATCAAACAACAGATAAATAGCTACTCATAAATCAGCTCTATATGCTGTATGTGCTTCTCTTTCCAACAACAGAAAACTTATTCTTTTGGCAGAGCAACATAGGAAAAGACTGCATTGGACAAATGGTTGCACCTTATCTTATACAATTAATATTAGAACATAAGGCTTAAAAATACAACAGTAAACAAGCAATGCAAAATGATGCACGGTTGAATGAAACGACACTAGTGGAATTGGTCTGGGAAAGAAGAGGAATTCAGAAGGTCCTACGCAACAGAAAGAGCTGCTCCGCACTCCTGCTGCATGTAGGATTGGTTTCACAGTGCGGGGGTGTCCGTTCTATCCTAACCTAGCCCTAATTAACCTCAGTAACTATACATTACTATACACCACAGCACAAAACAGACCAGGCAAGTGGCACGGAAATGTTTGTGGGTCGCAGCGCGTTCATGCTGTACTTCATTTTTAAAAGGATTCCTGTTTCGGCTGAGGTCCTCTGAACCCTGAAAGGATTTCACCTTCAGCAGCACCACGGATCTAACACCCAAGACTCAAACTGTTACTTTCATGATGGGTAATTTTGAAGTTACGATGTGTCGAATCAAAGAGTTTTATCTCAGAACAGCGATGGAAGGAAGAAAGAAACCAAGAGAGGAAGAAAATGAAAGTTCTGGGTTTTGTATAAATTTGGAGATGTTCATGTAAACGGAGCGTGTCTGAGTGTGTCTGATGTTAAAACCCGGTGCCACCGTTGACCTCTACATCTCATGGGACAGGGCTTCATGTTGAGCAGCCAGGCCGTTGGTCTGGGGGGGGCCAGGCTGCTCCTCCAGCTGAGCCTTAGGCTGAACCGGCGCGTGGTCAGACGGTTCGGAGACGACGTGGCCGTTGGACTCGTTTAGCCGACGGACGCGATACGTCTCGTAGTGAATGCTCCCTGTGATGTCCTTGATGTTCTGCATGTGAGTCCTGTGGAGGAGGAGATGGTACATCAGTACGAGGACGTCTTTGTTCTTGTTGTGATCAGTTTACGTACAATCGTCATGGTTACAAAGGTCTTGTTGGGCTTTTAATGCATTTGAACAGCAACACTTTCGGTCACCTAAAAAATATTGAATGGAGACTCCATCCGCATGGAATCAATCAATCAATCAATCAATCAATCAATCAATCAATCAATCATACAGATAATATGAAGACTAGGACTGGACAATAATTCAACATCATTATATCACAATATTAGGATGGTGTATTAGAGCCAGGTGTGAGATTTTTTTTTAAATACAAAAATAAAGTCATAACATTACAAGAATAAAGTCGTAACATTACAAGAATAAAGTCTTAATTTATGAGAATAAAGTTGTAACATTACGATAATAAAGGAGTAAACTTACGGGAATAAAGTCGTAACATTATGATAATAAAGGCATAAACTTACGAGAATAAAGTCGTAACATTACGATAATAAAGCCGTAAACTTACAAGAATCAAGTCGTAACATTGCGATAATAAAGGCATAAACTTAGGAGAATAAAGTTGTAACATTACGATAATAAAGGCGTAAACTCACGAGAATAAAGTCGTAAACTTACGAGAATAAAGTCGTTACATTACGATAATAAAGGCGTAAACTTAGGAGAATAAAGTCACAACATTACGATAATAAAGGCGTTAACTTAGGAGAATAAAGTTATAACATTACGATAATAAAGGCGTAAACTTAGGAGAATAAAGTTGTAACATTACGATAATAAAGGTGTAAACTTACGAGAATAAAGTCGTAACATTACGATAATAAAGGCGTAAACTTAGGAGAATAAAGTTGTAACATTACGATAATAAAGGCGTAAACTTACGAGAATAAAGTCGTAACATTACGATAATAAAGGCGTAAACTTACGAGAATAAAGTTGTAACATTACGATAACAAAGGCGTAAACTTACGAGAATAAAGTCGTT